AGTGGTCACTGCACCGAGCCTGTCTGAATTTAAGAAGAGATTGGACTGTGCACTTAGTCACATGGTCTGAACTTTTGGGTAGACCTGTGCGGTGTCAAGAGTTGGACTTGATGATCCTTAAGGGTCCCTTCCAACTCAGGATATTCTATGATTCTATTTGTCAGTGTATAGCCAGATAAGCTGCATGCCTACATATAGGGTTTACATTGTATTAATAGCCTTGAATAATATGGAGGAAAAATCTGAATTTAACAGCATTGGTAGAGGTGGTATTCCAGCCTTCATGATGCAGACAGGCCCAAAATGTTGGTTGTTTTTTTTTTTTTCCTGTGTTTTCTTTGCTATATGACCAAGTCACATGTTTTCTGATTGTTTAACAGGACCCTAAGTTGCTAAATACAGATAAACAGCTGTAGCTGAGAGCTCCAGTGCTGTCAGATGGCCGATAGCAATGAAATGTGGGTAGAGGGTCAAAACACAAGACAATAGGAGTGTGATCTCCAGGCTAAAAGGAAATAGTTCAGAGAGTTGAAAAGCTAAAAAAAAAAAAAAAAAAACCAAAACTGTTCAGGAAATCTGTATTGTACAGTTCTTCAGCTATTCAGATGCTCTTTGTGTTTATTTAAAGCAAACGGGCAAATACTGTTTGAAATAGAAATCAATTTATTACTTGGAGAGGTGAAGGAATCTAATGCTTTTACCTGTAGCTGGTGGCAGAGCAGACTCTGACAGCCAGTTTTGAAAAGAATCAAACTGGAAGTGACACAAGATTATCACAGACCCAACACAGCAGTTAGACCAGGTTTCCAGCTAACTTCAGGGCAGTTGCAAAGCCTCCTAGACACAACTGGTATCTTCCATTTTACAATGCTGGGCAGAAATGTAGACAGATTGCTCCGAAGAGACCTGCTTCTTACTGCTGAGTTAATACAAAAAAGTCTTGTAAATGGAAATGTGACATCCAGACTGGTACCTGCGCACTTCCCTAGATGTGCAAAGAATAAGAAAGTGTTTATTCTGTGAGGGGAAGACTTCCTAAGTCAACAACTTTTTTACTGTGTCTTTTCAAGCTATTTTCCTGGATAAATTAATGCAATTGAAGGCTTCAAATATGTTTCTGTAGACATTAGCAACATTAGCACACTAGTAATGCTTCTGGACATCTTGTTTCTTTCAGACAGTGAACAGAAATACCTGAATAAGATGTTCATGTGTTAGTGTTCTCCACTCAGCTGCATATGTACTTACTTTAGCTAGCTTGCTTTTGGTCAAAGTTCCCATAAACTATGTGAACACACAAAACCTCAGCTTATTTATGCATTACTTTCCTGGACCTATTTGCTTTAAAAGACCATCTATAAAATGAGGTTTAATATATTACCTAGGCAGATGTGCAGAGTGTATTTGGCAGTTACTTGGTTTTAAATGTTTTACCACGTTATGGATAGTTGCTGCCATTGCTGGTAGATCAACACTATATTTCTATAGAAATATTCAAGGTTATCAATGCTTGTAATCATCTATAGCCAGTCTTCCACAACCAATGTTAAACAAATCATTTCTGAGCTCTGTTTAGAGTGAGGCAAAGTTGCTACAGATGGCAAAGCCCGGATGGCTAAGAGCTCAGGGTTTTGAAGTTCTGCCAACTCTGGGCTCAACTGGGTATGTAGGACCGTATGCTGAATACAACAGAAACGTGTGGGAGTTATGGCTGTTCAGTGCTTCTGAAAAAGTATCCACTACTAAGAGATTTAGCTCTAGAAGCCAGGCCTATTGTAGGTTTCAGACTCCGCTGGCAACACTTGAAAATTTTGATATAAACAAATTGTCCAAGGATGCACGGGGTATCTATGCCAGATCTAGGAACAGAAGGCAAATCTCTTGATTACTGTTTTCCCATAACTGTGCAGAATGTTATTTCTCCTGTATTATCTGAACTATAATTATGAGTCTTGCAGGCTTTAGAAGAGTGTGTGCTACTGAAATGCTGAGTTGGTGGAGAGAAACAACATAAGAAATGAAGTATTAATGCTAGCAAGTTGGTGATAAAGAAAGAGGAGTTATGCTGAAAAATGTATTATAAATGTTCTTTAAAAATTGTAAGAGCCTAGCTAAAACAATCCTGCAAAGTCAGCAGTCCCAAGCAAGGCCTTTGATTTGACCTTAAGACTGGAATACTGTTCTGAATAGCTGTCAGCTTGTCCTATCATTTTGGAAACATTTGGAAAACTTAGTCCCACATTCGGAATTAGTTAGCATTTAAGGTCTTGTATTAATTCAACTACTCTTACACTGGTACCTCCAGTGTGAGCAGTACCTCAGTAGAACAAAGGATGCACAATAAGCTGCAGAGAGTGCTACTTGAGTCTTACTCTTCTTGGTAGACTCTGTCTGTCCCTCCCAGTTACTGTCTATTACTACAAAACACAGAAATCCACAGGTAAGACAAAGAGAAGCAGCCAGGCAAGAAGAAAGCCTGCAAATGGGAAGAAGCTAGAATCACTGTCAGTAGGAGATTGTGTAAACTGTTCTTAGATTCAGAGATGACAGGAGAAAGTCAGTATATAACTGTTTTGGCCAGGAATCTGCAGCATATAACGCTTAAAGTACTTTGTTCAAAAACTTTGATTTTTCCTTCCAATATTAGTATATATATCTATGTCCTTTACTCTGACTTTTTACTTTAGTTTCTTTTATAAGAAACTAATAATTTGCATGATCAGCACTGTTCTAAATACCTTCAAAAGCTGACAGGAACTAGACAACCCATCCCAGCTTTCTCTATTCCCATAGGAATCTCTTTCAGTCTGTACCTCAGAAACCCCTGAGTCAATACGTTCTAGCCAAATGTCCCTAGAGGAGGGATTAAAATGCCAGAAGAGGAAAAAAAAATGGATTATTTCCTTACATTAAAAAAGTTAGCTTGAATGCATTTCCAAAATTTCCTTTGCAACCAGGATGATTGGGAGAGTAGATTAAAAGTTAGGAAAACTGAATTTCTTTAGTAATCTTGTCTCTCCAAGGACTTGGATATAAAGGAAGGACTGTGTCAGAAAGCCTGAGAGTCAGGAGACCACAGTTCTAAAACAAACTGCTAAATTAATTTTTCCCTAAGATCCTCATCTTCAATCAAATGTGACCAAGTTGTTCTCAATTTCAGCATCAGGTATCAGATGTAACTAATAGAAGGAATTTCAAGGCTCAGTGAATTTCTGTTTGAGATATTTTATTAAGTGTACTCTTGCATAGGGAATTCAGCAAACATTTTCTATCAGTGTTTGAAAACCCTTTGAGTTAAGTCTCAGTTTGCTCTAAAACTTGGCTTGTCCTCTATGGAGAAAAATCTTGTATTAGAAGCTATTAGACAAACTGTCGAAAAGAAAGTTGAGGAAACCACAGAACAGCAAACCAGACTCATACGTAAGCCTTCCTCTTAATTGGATCTGGCAGCAGTATTCACAGGCTGCTCATTGTGGAAAACAAGGTTAATAGTTAACTTCAGGCAGATTTGGGCTTAGCTGGTAGTTGGAGGGCAACCTTCCTGAAGAAAACAAGCAAAGAAACAAACAAACAAAAAAGCAATTGCAACAAATCAGTAAATTGCAGGAAATCAATAAATTGTGATTTGCACTTTTTGTTGATAGGGAGTGAATAGCCTTGCCTGGTGATACAGGCCTCTGTATTTGAAAGTATTTGACCCAAGTGTAGTGTGAATGACTGCGGAGGAGGTCCCAGCTCTGTGTCTGTGGCTAGGCTAATAGGTGATGGGACTGCTTTCATTGATGGACTATTGCAGTCACATTTCCTTGGGCTGTGATCAAAATTCTCACCAGAATCTATGCAGGGATCAGTTGGCATGATCTGGTAACTTCTGTGAAGTTAATTGATTTGTTCATTATGCCGGTTTCCTTTGTATTAGTTATCTTCTTTGCAGACCTGCATATTCCTGGCAGAAACACCTTTGTTCCAGTGCAGACTGGTTGCATTCCCTGGAATAAGTTGACTTTTTTTCTTGTGGACAATTTTGTGGGTCTCAGAAGGGTGAGAAAAGTGGGATCCTTGCCCGCACTGTTTTTGAATAAAACAGAGATTGTCACATGTTCTGAAGATTAACAGCAGGATTGCAAAAGATCTTCACATGTTCTGATAGCTGTCAAGATTAAATTTGCTAGTCTGTTTTTTAAAAAGTGTGAATGCAGATGGATTTATAGTGGAAATAGCACCTCCTGCTTGACATTAGTTGTGCACAGCAGGGCTGGGTGCAGTTCCCACACTGTGCCTACCAGCCACACAGGGTTACACGGCTGCCATAGAGCATTACAGATTTATACGTTCAGGCTGTGTTAAAACCAAATGTTTAGACTCTATTCTTCTAAGCTAGCCATGCACTGGACTGAGTTGAGCCAGACACAGTCTGTGTTCACACAAAAGTTGGCAGAGCAGTGAGTTTTGGCACCAGCTGGACAATACTTACTCCCCGAGTTCAAACTCCTTTCTCTGTGTACATCAGCATGTAGTGCTAGTGTAATTAGGCAACCCTAGAATTAGAAAAAATCCTTGTTTTGCAGCCAAATCTTTAGATAAATACCTTTTGTTGTTGTTGTTGTTGTTTTCTTTTTTCTTTTTCTTTTTTTTTCCCAAAATCTTCTTTCATAGTGTATGAGATGATTATTGATTATGTATGTAGCTTTAGGGATTTGACTTTTTTATTCTCTTTTCCTCCAAACTTGTTTCCTTTCAGCAAAAAGCAAATCTCTGTATTATACAACCAGATTGTAAATATAGTCTAGTAAAAATAAGCATTGCCACCTGTCTCTGTCTGTGTAGCAGCAGCCAGTTACAGAAACTTTGGCCCACACTCCTTTATGAGCTAATTTACTGTATTGAAAAGGCAAATTGGTAACTGAAGTAATGTGAAGGTCTTCCAGTGAAGACTACATTTAAAGTCAGCTGGTATAAACCTGTTTTTAATTTTTTCATTTATTTTTTCCTTTATGTAGCCAGGACCTTTACTATGACTTTGAGACTAAGGTGATGGTAACCACTGATTAAGGAGGCATTGGGGAGGCATTGGGGAGGCAAGGACAATCCCCAGACATGGACTGTATATCTCGAAACAAGACACTGGAACTCATGATAAGGAAGTGGCAGACGGACAGAGAAACAAATGTAAGGACTATAAATCTCAAAATTGGACATTGGAATTCATTATAAAGATACAACAAACGGAAGAATTGGCAACAACCAGCTCTCGCAATTAAGAAACGTGCCAATTCAGCAGATTCCTGACCAAAGGTGAAAAGTACACTGTGAGGAAGACTCGGGGTCTTCCTCCCAAAGACCCCTGCCCACGTCCCAAAGACCCCTGCCCACAATTCTTGGGAGGCTCTACGCAGGCGCAAGGTGCCAAAAGGCTAATTAGCATGAGAAGCGAGGGAAGGCGGGGATAGGTAATGCATATGTATAGGCGCTTGTAGAATATTGATAGATTGATTGTATAAATTCAAGACTGCTTTCCGCTTTGGGTATGCACGATAGGTGGAGAGATCCCCCGTGCATCCAGCGCTGCAATAAAGAATATACCACTTAAAGGAATTTCGGCTTCGATCTTTGAATCACCATGCAAACAGTAGAAAAGAGCCACAACTTATGTGACTGAGAGCAGTGGTGTTTTTTTTTTTTACTCTCCCTCTTTTCGCATTTTCAAGGCCACAGCTTGCTCTCACTGAGCACAGTTTTCTGCAGGTAACTGGTGCAATACTTCTCCAGAAGGCATGTGCAGTGTTGTTCAGATCTAAACTGTGACTGAAAGCTTGGAGCTATGTTTAAGCAAGGATACAACAAAGATATTCCTTAGCAGCATGGAAGTGTCAGCTTTAAGCACTTACCTAGGAACACTTTGCAGTGCTAATTAGAGTGCCGATATGCAAACATGGCCACGCAACTTATGGAAACAGCGCTGGTACGGCATTACAGCAGAGGTAGGACTGGGAAAAGAGATGAGACTTGACTGGCCAGTAGTTCCTCCCATTTTCCTTTTTTTCCCTTTTAAAAATTAGGACACTAAATTACTAGATACTCTTAACAGCAGAATCAGAGACTAATAACTTGGTGCCCTAAGTCCATCTTGGCTCATTTCTCAGGTTGGTCCTTGTAATACACAATAAATGTTTGTTCATTGTCTTTTGTATTATAAAAACAAGGAGTTCTGTTTGAGGAACTGGAGTTGTGAAAACTCCCTGCTGAAGTAAGGAGCTGTATAATGCTTGGCTAGACACTATGAAAATTCTTTTGCTTAATGTAACAAAAAAGAGAACCCCCCCCCCTTTCTCTCCTTCTGCATCTCAGTTGCCTCTTTTGTTTAAAGACCCTGCTGCAAAGCTCATGTAACCATCTCCTGACAAATTGCTAAACCAGTGTATCAACATCCTGCCTTCCTGTCTCACGCCGGGCCAACATGACCAAATAAAAAAAGAAGTTGAACCACAACGCTGAGGAAGACTATGGCCTTCATCTTCACGACCACCAGAGGGACAGAGACGACCCCCTAGCAACAGCGTGCGCAGTCGCAGAATATACCAGGATGTGCTGCGTAATCCTGGAATTACCAAGATATAAAAAGGGACCCTGGCGGGGGTGAGGTGCGCACCATTGGCGGAGCCGAGACTCCCTGGCCGCCCAGTGCTGTTTTGCTTGCTGTTGCTTACTCAATAAATTCCTTTCTATTATTAATGCAATGCTCTCTGAAAATTAATTATGGGGGCAACTTATAACAAATTTGGTGCCGTGACTCAGATGAAGGCAATCTGATTGAAAGACCTTTGGAGGGGGCGCCCCGCTGATTTCAGTGGCCTTCGCTAGGATTACTTTCATTCAAATCCTTCACCGACGAACCCAAGATTCGGCAGCAAGCAAATAAAGCCAGCAACCCCTAGTAATCTTTGTGCACGAAGACCGAACGAAGACTTGGGGGTGAGTAAGTATAGGCCGGTGATCCGTTTGGTTGGGGTTGGGTATCCTGGAGCGTAGCGTTGTGAGACGTCCAATTGCGGACGAAGTGAGTGCGGACCCCTCGGTAGTGCGGTTCCCACATCCTGCGAGGGACTGGGCCACGAAAAGGGGGAAGCGATTTGTGTGTGTGTATGTGAAGGCGCTCCAGAAGATGGGACAGAAGAAGAGTAAGCCTTCTGGTCCCATGGGCGGGGTAACGTCTGATGTTAGGTTACCCCGGGATTAATGATTAAAAATTGGGAGGATTCCCCTTTTAGGCGGGGAAGGAATAAAGTAAAAATGATACATTATTGTGTTGAAGTTTGGGGTGGTAAACAGATTCGAGGAGACCACCTTTACTGGCCCGTATTTGGGTCCTTTGAAGATTGGGTTTGCCAGGCCCTAAATATTTATGTAAACTCAAAGGAACCTTTTAGTTTGGAAGAAAGTGAATATGCACATTTGTGGATCAGCTCGGAAACTCGAGCCAATTTATATCCTCTAAAAGAAAAAGGAAGGGATGGGAGGCACAAGAAAAACCGAGAATTAGAGATCCCAGCCCCACTGCCTCCCTATATTTCACCACCACCACCTGCAGCCCCTCCGACTCCTGGGCTTCCTAATCCGCAACCCCAGCGAGACTCTGATAGCGACTCTGACTGTAGCGCTCAGGGACCAGTGACTAGGAATATGTGGCCATCCCCATTAACTCTGGGGACGTCCGAGATTTTAAGAAAGACAGGAGGAGGGTAAGCGAGCTTTAATGGCGACTGGCATAATGTTTCCAGCTGCTGAGGAATAATTCTAACTGGAATAATAACTGTACATTGTATATATAAAAGCCCAGGCATTTTTGTTAAAGTGTTCTTTTATACCTATGTTAATATGTAAATATGTAAATATAAGAACTGCCATTGAGGTGTATGTCTAAGGGAACAAAATTTGCCCAGGCATATTATCGGCTCATCAGGTTTAAATGTTCCCAGTGTAATTGTCTACAGGCAGTTAATTTACAGTGGTCTGATTTTACTTGTGTATCTATATATTGTGGATTTTGGAGGGATTGGGATTGACTAGTAAAGAGCTTCTAGGAAAACGGTGGAATATTAACCACTGTAGATTACAATAGGAAAAGTTCAAAGCAAAGAAATCCCGAGGAAAAGCCCTCTAGGATGTATACTAACACATTGGAGGGATATAGTGGGGTGAGAGTGTACAGAGAGTAAAAGAACTCTTATCAAATATTGTAATCAGTGGTGGCCACTTTATAAACTAGAGGATGGAGCGGAGTGGCCTCTAAATGGAAGTATTAATTATAACACCATATTACAGTCAATGTTGTTTTTGTGGGGAGAAGGAAAACAGGATGAAATGTTGTATATTGATGTTGTTTCAGCATCTTGGAGGGAAAAGGTATGGAATTAAGTTGGCCCCTGACTGAGCCTTTGATGTCGGCATTAGAAAAGTACAGGCTAGAGAAAGATAAAGGAAGTGTTAAAAGGTTTGTTGAAAGTGTTAAAGGTATTCGAAGTTGAATGAGCAGGGAAAGGTGATGTAGGCATTATCTAAGTAACAGTCTAGAAGTTTTGGTATATTTGCATATTTGCTGTGGTGTTTGGTCAGTTTCCCAAGCATCGGGGAGGGGGGAACAGCCTGCTCCACCAGGGCTGGTGGCCGCAGGGGGGCTTCAGCTTGTGAGGAATGTGTTAACAATTCGTGTCCATAAAGAACAATTCTGTTTGAATCCTGTCTGCCTCTGGGCCCTGCACTGGCAATTTAATTCTTGAACCACAGATGCAGTGTGTCCCAGTCTCCCCCTCATTCTAGTCAATTTATCACGTCTTCAGAAAACACTCCTTAAATTCATGAACCTGTTTGCTTTTGTTATTCTGGACTTCTATTTCTAACAGTTACAGCCTTTTTTCCTGTCTTCTTTGAGATTAACTTAACACTGCTATAGATGTTTCTGTGAATGGCTGGGGAAGAATGTTTTAATTACTCGTGAAGCGTCAAATAAGAAAGCTGTTTGTGTTTGATGTCTGGGAGTTTCAGAACAACTGATAACAACTAGTGACTGTTATGGGATACTATGTGGATCTTTGGTATCTGGCCAGGGGGCCAAGAGATTAAGAGGAGGGAAAAAGAAGCTGAAGGACGGTTGGGAGACAAGACCTGTGGAGAGTGTACAGAGAGTGTTCCATAAACTTGGAATAGTGCCGAGTGAGTACAAAGGTGAGAGGAAGACTACGAGCCTTCAGCATGAAAGACCCCTAGAGACCCCCAGAGGAGACTGATGCGCATGCTCCAGTAGGAGGGACTGGACCCCGGAAGCTAATTATAATAATCTATTTTTTTTAGAAGTAGTAATGAATATGTATTAGTCTAGGAGCATAAAAATCAGCTGCTTGATGTAACTGGTGTGCGTCCTGGTGGAGCGGAGACTCCCGGTGCACCCAGCGCTGTTTGCTTACCTCTATTCCTTTATATTCTTTTAATAAATCCTATTTTTTTATTTAATCCTAATTTGAATACTGAGCAATTTATAACAGGCTCCAGCGCCTGGAACGCCTCCTCCCCCTCCTTCTGCACTGACTTTGGTGTCTGCGGGGAGGGGGGGGGGGTTCTCGCTCTCCCAACTGCTGTTGAGCAGCAGGTTTTTGTTTGTTTGTTTGTTTTTGTGGATGTGCTCTCACAGAGGCATGGATTGTGTTGCTATGGCTAGGCTCTGGGCAGCAGTGGGCCCCTTTGGGGCCAGATGAAATTGTCCCTTATCTGCCACGGGGAGGCTTCTGGGTTTTTCTCACGGGGGCTGCCACTGCAGTTTCCCACCCCCACACCTCTCACACCCCCCGAACCTTGCCATCAAACCCAATACACTGGGGAACAGCTAGGTCATTACTGACTTGTAAAGTATCAGGGATTAAATTAACTAATGAAACCCTAAAAAGTGATGGGGGCAGAAGGGGCTGGGATAACAGTGCCACTTTGGGGGGATACCAAGCTGAGACTAGGGGATAAAATGATCACTGGGTAATTATTGAATGTACCCAAGGCAGGGACTAACTTGTTAAGAAGGGATTTGATGATTAGATTGGGCATTCAACTAGTAAATTGTTAGACTGGAATAACAGTGTTATTAATGGAGTGCTCTCTGGCCCTGAGAGCAAACATACATGTA